TTTGTTGGCTTCGTTTTTGTTTTGCGCTGCGTTTTGTGTGCTGGTGTGCGCAAAGCAAAGGCGGCGCGTCGTTGTGACCAGTGTTGCCAGGACTTCAAAAATAAAAAAAGCTAGATGTAAATATCTCGACAACTAAAGTATTAACGAATCGTAAGTTACGATCACGAAATTTCATGAGTCTTTTAATAAAACCATTTTAATAATAAAGGCGACTCTTTTTAGGGTCTAAAAGCGCGAGATGTAATAGAAGACGTCTCTTTTCAGTGTATGCGATTCGACAGTACCAGATACAAACTTCGCAACATATTTGGCGAGGGTTTCACGCCTGAGTGACTCGTGCAGGCTATGCTACAAAGCAGCAAAAAATGGTCGGCAGCATGTGACGCAATAGCAGAGCCGATGAAGGGGCTAAGGACCCCCGAATGGCAACGGCATAGCAGCGGCGACTAACTGCCTTTCTCCCTCACTATGTAGTGCTTGACGTCATTCCCGTGGGGTGTGGAGTTCTAAGAAATAACATGCTTTTCCTGGTTTTATAGGGACACTTGAGAGCCGCTGAAAAAACTGTTAAAGTATAACGAGTTCGCTGAGCAAATTTCGTCGGACGGAGCGATGCCGCCGGATGATATTCGCTTAACATTTCGTCAAGTAAAATTGGACCGGTACAATAATTTAATGCTACTACAAATATTGTGGAGGATTGTCCTTAAAAAATGCTAGTTTGAAAATAAGAAAAGGCTAGGAAAAAGCGAAGAAACTAAATCCTAAATTTCGAAGCTAAACGACAGAGAAAAAAACTAGATCTAGCCTCAAAAACTGATATAAACTGGCAACACTGGTTGTGACTGCTATTGCTGCTGTCATTGTATGCAACTGGCTCAGCTGATATGGCGACTTTTGTGGGTGTTGATTTCATCTGTCTTCGTGACTTTATTGTAGTGGAGTGCGATACGTGCATGGTTGATGTTGTTGTTGTCGGTGCTGCTGTCGCTGTTGTGGTGCGCCTCAACGTCGGCAATCGCCTTCACGCCACACGCCTTCCTTCCCTTGGCAATGGCGCATTCGTATTGTCAAAAAGTCGTTTTTTTCTACACTGCACAAGGATTTTAATGTCAGCCACCAGCCACCCTGCTTAATGAGGTACGCATAAGCATACAAACACATGTATGGACATGAGCGAGAGCTATTAGCCGCTCTCACGCAACAGTGGTAGGCTACGCCCCTTTTTTGTCGATTGGCCTGCTTGCTTTGAGAGCGCCACCATTTTTCGACCAGTTTTCAATGCGCATGCCCAAAAGTTGGTTGATTTGGTCGATTTCCATGCGATAGGAGCTTTGAGAATGCCCTCTTAATTATGTAGGGACATATGTAGCCAGTAACAAATATGTGTGTTTGGAAATCAAAAAGCTGTAAAAGCATCTTCTTTCGTATTTATTTATATTAGCGTCAGCTGTTTCATCGATTCTTTTTAGCGTCACGTGCTCTTGGTATTGATTGCCTTTTTTGCGGCTTAGAGAGGTTGTCATCTACATATGGCCTTCGTCGGCGAGTCAGTTTGGCATTGATGAAGTTGCCATAATATATAGCATATTTCTGGGCGGAAATAAGAAGGCTTGCTATTCTTTGCAAAAATATAACTATGTACAAAGCAAATAAAAAATTTTGTTCAAAGCACGCATTCGGGGATAGCATTTTTGTAGGCCTGGGTTTAGCAAAAACCCCTACTATTTCACATCTCAATCTAATCTCTAATCTAAACTATGCAACAATGTTTTGACATTTTTATTTCATGTGATGAATATCGACTGTGAGATCCATAACTAGGGGTTCGAATTCTGTTTAGGCGACTCATTATACTTGCTGTCACTTCAAATCATGCTCAACTTGCTTGATGCATCACAACTCCTCCGCATTGTCTCAACGGCAAAAGCCAAAACGCTACAAGCCACTGAAGCTCTTTATGGCTTTCAGAATGTAGAGGTAGTATAAAAGTACACATTGGCCACAGCGCCTACCCACAATTGTGAACGTAAACAAAAAACATAAATGGTACTCAACAAACACGCTTGATGTATCCCCCAAAAAAATTCTTTCGGAGTTCTGTCTGATGGTTACCATTGGCCCCAGCGCACACTGGCCTGAATAGAGAATCTAGCGAGGCAAAACTATTTGAACAGGTTTGCGTTGATGGATTTGTACACCACTTCGTATCCACTAGTTTACGGGACCACTGATTACAAATCTTCAGTCAGGTTTCAAAATTCTAATATGGCGGAAACAATTTTCAAAATTGATTGAATTCGTTCAAAACTTAGTACTAGGGGGTTTTGGGAGTCGCTAATTATGAATCTGACCATGAAATTTTAAAATTCAAAATGAAGATCCAATATGGCGGGAAAATTTTAAAAAACCTTTTTAAATTCGCTCGAAACTTGCTTGTTACTCGGAGGTTCTAGGGGTTTCAGCCACTGATCCTAAAAATTTGAAAATACATACATAAGTATGTACACCGGCTGATTTGGATCGTTCATTTCAAAAATCACATCAAACAATTTTTAAAGTTTTGAGTTTTACCGTCATCCCGGGTCCTTTAAATTTGTCAGTTATATCCTAGGTGTTTAAAAAATAAAGTGATCTCAGCTATTTCTTTCGCGAAATATATTTCAAAAATGAATATGAATGAATAACAAAAAAATACGAATCAAAATTCCATGGAAAATCAGGTAATATTTTTCAATAGATTACACTGCTCACTATCGACTTTTCTGTCACGTTTTACTTTTGTGACAAACACGGTCAACTGCAACTGCAGCCTGCACATTAATTTGATGTATAACTTAATTCTTTAACCGCTTCTGATCGCCCTAACCAAGTCGTATGACTGAACATTAATATACATACAGAAGATACGAAGTGAGTCAAGAAAATGTTTAAACGCTATATTTTAGCACCTACTTCACCGATTTGAAATCTGACAATTTTTGGATAACCTATGGAGCATGCACTTTAATTTGATATACAACTCAATTCTGTAGCTACTCCAGATCGCCCTAATTAAGTCGTACGACTGAGCAATTATATTAGATAATTTTTCTATTACCGATAATCACTTCCCTTCGCAAAGGTTGATAACCTCCTCCTTTTTTGAAGTCGGTTAAAAATAATGAAAAAAAATACNGGTTGATAACCTCCTCCTTTTTTGAAGTCGGTTAAAAATAATGAAAAAAATTGGATTTTGGTGAAAAGACGAAGTCGCGTTTTAAAATTTGCATGCAATTAAGGTAAATTTGTATTTTAACTCATCAATAAGTTCATAAAAAACTTTATGGAATATAAATTCCTTTATATGGCTCGGTACAACTCAATTGTTACAATAACAAGTAATTTTTATGCAAAAAACACAACCGTCCTCAATTCTCATATAAAAATTTAGAATTAATTTCTTCATGATCCAATGATCGGATCTAAACCAAATTGGAATGGGACCTCCCCTGTAGTCCAAAGTTATTCGCTACCATACATAAAAAAAAAAAATATTCCGATGAATTGATAACCTCCTCCTTTTTTTGAAGTTGGTTAAAAAAAAGAAAAATTAAAAAGGTAAATTATTATAAATTTTTAGTAGCTATATTTTAATATTTAAAAAAATGNATATGGCTCGGTACAACTCAATTGTTACAATAACAAGTAATTTTTATGCATATATAAAAATTTAGAATTAATTTCTTCATGATCCAATGATCGGATCTAAACCAAATTGGAATGGGACCTCCCCTGTAGTCCAAAGTTATTCGCTACCATACATAAAAAAAAAAAATATTCCGATCAATTGATAACCTCCTCCTTTTTTTGAAGTTGGTTAAAAAAAAGAAAAATTAAAAAGGTAAATTATTATAAATTTTTTTAGTAGCTATATTTTAATATTTCTAATAAAATTTACATAAAAAAATCTCAGCCCTAATTGAACTACACCTTTTCCAACAGTATTTCAGAAAAACACAAATGTATTTCAGAAAAGGCCTAATGAATTTCAGAAAAACGCAAATGTATTTCAGAAAAGCACAAATGTAGTTTAGAAAAGCGTAACTGTATTCTAAAAATATTTTTCTGAAATACATTTGTGCTTTTCCGAAAATAATTTGAACTTTTCTGAAATACATTTGAGGTTTTCTGAATTTAATTTGGCTTTTTCTGAAATACATTTGAGGTTTTCTGAAATACATTTGAGTTTTTCTGAAATTCGTTTGGCCTTTTCTGAAATACATTTGGGTTTTTCTGAAATACTGTTGGAAAAGGTGTAGACTTTTATATAAAAATATTAAACATTAAATAAACCAAATAAATATATCCAAAACTGGTCAAAATAGGGCGCGACTATTAGTTCTGCCACCAGTATATATATATACATTCATACATACATACATACATATTATAATTCTATATATTTTAGCAATAAANTCAAAATAGGGCGCGACTATTAGTTCTGCCACCAGTATATATATATACATACATACATACATACATATTATAATTCTATATATTTTAGCAATAAATTTTTTTTTGCTGTAATCACATTTGTTGTACTAAACCATATTTTTGGAATCATACGGTAATTTCTTGGCATTACCCCGCAATTATATGGAACTAATCAGCAAATAATTTTCAATTGGTCTACTATTTTCATAAGTGCGTGAATTTAAAATTTGTATCTTTCTGAAACTAATTATACCGTTATTAACTTCTTGCACCAATGATTTGCGCAAAATACATGCATACAAACTATAATAACAGTTTAGTAGTGTATTAGAAGTTCTGGGAAAATGTGTGTCACAGCCAGATTCGTTGCATACTTTTTTATCATAACAACTGTGACAATATCAAAGGTAGAAATTTTCCCAGAAAATTTGTGTAATTGGAAAGGATACCAAATCCTCTATAGAAATTTCACTCATTTTAACTTTTGCTTTGTTTTTTTTTTTTTTGGTGTTCCACAATGTCAGTGCGATATGGCGGAGATACGTTTTACCTACATTCGTTGTAAGGCCATCGATGCAAGTCTTATCAATATTCCGCTTTGCATAACAAAACCCATCTCACGTAATGTTACAGAGACCTCGTTGCATGTGAGACTTGCTCGGCCTGTAACGAACATTGTAGTGAGTGAAGCGCAGCGTATAATAAATTATAGTAAACAGCTCACTGTTGTGGCAAATTAATGAATAGCAAATTTTAATTTACTCACCATTTAGACGCGCGTACGCTTCATGAAAAAATCATCCGATTATTCCTTGTACTTTGGCGAAAATTCATACGATGCTTGCAAATTCTTGGATAATCGGAAAATCTATCCAATCGCCGATTATTTATTTAACATCATAGATGACTATACGAATCTCAATCACTCCTGTCCATACAAGGTAAGTTTTGGAGTTAGGTATAGGTACGGTGACCATCCGTTCTGTTTTTTGCAGGACCGTACTGTTATTTAAAGGTCTGTCCTGCGTAGTTTTTCAAAACAGAAAACCCCCAAAATGTTCTGATTTTTTCCAAGTGTCCTGCCTTTGTCCCGCATTTTCTTCGATATTTTAGAATTAACTTTTCCTAATCGAAATAAAAGCAGCGTAAGTTGGTTTTGAAGGTTCAACTAGTCAATGCGTTCTTAATATTGTACGGATATGGACAATGGGTGACGAGAAATTGAAGACCAGCATCAAATATAGTGATAACACTGTTCTACAAATTTTGAGGTGATCGCTTAAGAAAAAAAAAATATTTTCCAAGCCGATTTTCTTTTCAAACAAGCGTTTTCGTAATTTTTTCGAAAAAAGTGTTTTTGGTACATTTCGGACCTATTCGTCAATGTCTCATGAAAAAATTATCCAATCAACATAAGCGACCTACAAAAATATATTACTTTGCCGATTTCCATGAAAATTATTAGTGTTACAAGCGACCAAAATCGAAAAATTGAAATTTCAATCATTTTCTTTTTACAGTAAATGAAACTCTGATGAGAAATGTAGATGTTACGGAACACAGTCTGCACAAAAAATATATATTTTTGCAAAGAGCCCATCAATACCTTTCGAACTGTTGGTCGTTTCATGAGATATTGAGGAATAACTGAAAAAGTACTAAAAATACGTTTTTCGAACAAATCTCGAAAACACTTCTTTGAAACCATGGGTATTTTTTCGTGTTCAACGACCCAAAGTTTGCCTAAAAAATTTACTTTACAGAGGTTCATATTTCGTGTAAAGTAATATGTAATATGCCTTATTATAATTTTGTAAATATTCATTACTAAAAGATTAATACCAATGAAGCAAATGTGATTTATGTTTAAAGTTTAAAATTGGATTAATAATTAAGAAATATACACTCTTCGTTATTTGAATAGCGCATCCTTTTAATACTTAGTAGGTACAGTTTTCCTTTTGTTTGTTTAATATTCATTAACTTTTTATAAAAATATAGCATATTCTACCTCTACATCCCATTTGAAAAATTTTTGAAAATTAAAAAAAAAAATAAACATAGGGGCGACAATTTTTTTTTGTTGACGGTGCTGCGCATTTTCTTCCATATAAAAATTTTGTCAAGCATACTTTGTATGGTAAAAAATCAAAAAAAGGGTACGCTGCTATTCGAATGACGAGGAATGTATATATGTAGTATATTTTTGTTATTTTTATACAACGCAATTATATGTATGTAGGTACATTTTTTAGAAAAATTGTCCTGCATTTTCAAAATATATTTATGGTCACCGTAGGTATAGGGTAAATATGTAGCTAAAACAGTATTCAGCTTCCCTTAAGCTGAACATAACCCGCGAAAATTCGAAACATTTATTGAACGCAGAAATTTGTATGAATGTATGTTTCCGGCGTTTGAGTTTCCTAATTTTTCGAGTTTAAGCAAATCTTATAGTTATAAAAATAACAGCAGTCAGTCGTATTTTTCTTCTCCGTAGGGTGATATAATCATAGACCGTTTTCGCATACGAAAGGACAAGTTGACTTGGCTGCCCATGCCAGAGGGTGAATATGCGCTCTTCACTTCTTGGAACATCGATGGAAAACTACGAGCTGAGTTGAATTTTTATTTTAGTTATAAATAAAAATATGAGTACATACCTATATATGTAAGTAAATATGTATATATTTGCGTATCGTTACCTTAATATATAGAAAGGCCCCAACTCATTTCCTTTCGAAATTCGGCATTGTACAAAGGTAGGTAGATTGCTTCATAAATGAATTACTATGTGGGCCTATTAATTCCCAACTGAAGAGTACTAGTTTTTATAAATTTTCGTAACTACCCTGTAAAGAGGCAAAAGTTGTTGATAGGGCCTTTCTATATTAAGGTAACGATATGTACACTATGTACATATTCGCACTTATGTATGTATTAATAAGATTAAAAAGTACTTGTAATATCTGAAGTGAATTATTTTTGATATATAGATTGAGGTGAAAACCAGGCGGATAGTTTCTTTAGAGAGAATCGACTTAGTAAGACGGCCCTTCCAATGCCTTCGATTTATTCTCAATCTTAAGGTATACCAACCTAGATTATTCGCTTGATGTGAAATTCTCTGCAATGGTACGACGATATAAAAACATACATATATAAGAATTGCAAAAACCACTCTTCGCTTTATCATAATACAGACGGGCTAGGTATCTCGTCAACACAAATATAAAAACAAGTAATTTTTAGGCAAAAAACCAAACCGACTTCAATTCTCAAATTAAAAAATTTAATTTCTTCATCATCGAATGATCGGATTTAAACCAAATTAGTATGGGACCACCCCTGTGATGTAACAATATTTGCCACACAGGACTAATAACACCTACGTACTGGTAGGACCCAATTTTTTTCGCTCCAATACCGGCCACTTCAGCAGCATTTCCCAAGCCCTTTTTGTTATGACTATAACAAAATACTTTTCATGTCATTACTGTCCGTTGATATAAAGATGTGCATACATATAAAATCTAAGCTTATATAACCAACCACCTCGAATACTACCAAGAACATTAATTTTTCCCTCTACTAAAATATTTTCATATTTCCCCAAACCACCACAAAAAAATGATTATGTTAAAAATTACCTCTGAGCATACCACACTTACATATTTCAAATGGCGCACACGAATTTCATACACTTCGGATTAAGAACATTTCAGCATATTTTCGACTATTTGTTTAGGCGCTGGAATTACAATCCTTTTTAATGTAATTTTCAACTTTTTTTTCTAACTTGACGCCAAGTAAAATGAACTGATGTCCCGTGGAAGAATATTTGGGTGTGAAAAAGGCAAAAAAAAAAATCAAAAACACAGCTAAAAATGAGAAAAACCAAAACAAATGAAATGAGATGTATCTTCGTGCGGATGATGTGTTTGTGTAGGTGTACAGCTGCGTGTCAGTGTGAATTTTTTATGATTAAGTGTAAATTTATGAATTTTTGGTGTATGCGTACTAATGCCCTCAAGTAAAAATGCATTAGCAAAACATTGGGTATTTAAAAACGGCATTTGTCTATGGGGGGGCAGACACAAAGCAAATGGTACAGAGAATAGGAAGAGGAACAAAAATAGCGAAGGCAATGTAAAAGACTCAAAATTTTTCTGCCTACATATTCCCATTAAACATTCAGCTGAAGTGTTTATGCATAGAGTGTTGCACTAATCCTTGCCTTGCACTGCTAAAGGACAATAGCATTGAGCGCGCGCGGTCGGCGTATGCACGCCTTAAAAAACAAAAGCCGTACGATTTGTGGCATGAATGAAAAAGTGAAAAAAGTTTTAGAAAAAAATGTGCTCAAGCAAATGAAAATAGTCAAGTGTAGGAATCGGACACCGACAATGGGACATCGGCAAAAAAAAAAAGAAACAGATTGTGGTAAAAAAGTGTACAATTCAAAAAGTTTACGTGCCGCTGCAAAAGTATGGGCAAATAACAATAGGTATGTAGGTATACGTACATAATACACAGAGAGCCGTAGTTCTAAACAAACACTAGTTTTGTTTTCGAAAGATATTCCAGTGACCTTTCATGCATTCTGCAAAGGGGTCTCGCCTTTTATGCAAAGTGTATAGTTAGGTTTGCTTTTAGCACAATTTTTATATATTCATTTTATGTNGCTGCAAAAGTATGGGCAAATAACAATAGGTATGTAGGTATACGTACATAGTACACAGAGAGCCGTAGTTGTAAACAAACACTAGTTTTGTTTTCGAAAGATATTCCAGTGACCTTTCATGCATTCTGCAATGGGGTCTCGCCTTTTATGCAAAGTGTATAGTTAGGTTTGCTTTTAGCACAATTTATATATATTCATTTTATGTAAAAAAAAAAAAAATTATTTAACAACAAAAGACTCTCTCAGCTTAAAGTAGTATTGAAATATAAAATTAAAAATAATAAAACTAAGTACGCTTATATTAATCGGAATGCTTATAAAACTCTTTTACAATCAAGGCAGTCGATTAGGCTAAATCTCCTATGCTTATAATGTAATTAACTCTAAATGTTGGTATATTTTTTCTAAAGTATTTTATTTGCTCTTTGCTCGCTCCCTCTTCCTCTCGTTGTTTTCTTTCACCATGCGCTCATTTGAAGCACGCTGGCCCAATCTTGAAGCCAAATGCTTGATCTGCTCGCGCATAATCCTGCGGATGAAAATCCACCAACGGTAGATAATTGAGGCGCTTCGTGCGCACCAGCAATACGGTCTCACCCAATTGGGTCGGCCGCTAAAAATAAACAAATACAATTAGCTTCTTTCTACCATAAGTAATCAACCTATTCACCTGACACTCATCGCGCAGCACCTCTGGTTGTACGAGCGCATTATCGTGCGCGATTTCCATTTCGTTTTCGCCCAAAAGCCGCAGCGCCTGCGTAAAGCCAACATCCGCTTCGTTATACCAGGCCACCGAATTTGTGCAGCTGTATGTGAAATTCTGATAACCTTCCTCTGAGAGCAAACGCAAGAAGGTCAATTGCACTGTACCCACTCCATCGTAGGCAATTTTCGCACCACCACTGAGACGCGAGTACCACGTGGAGCCGCCAGTTGTGCGCCGCGGCACCACCGGCGCGTCAGCCGTATGCGCGTCCGGGTAGATGCACGTTTCACCGCCTGCGCTCATATTGCAGTACACGTATATTGCATCGTCGGCCATACCAGCATTCGGATCGATCCAATACCAACCATTCTCGAATTGTGAATGAGCATAATGCAGATCGCGACAGGTGCGTACCGGGTTGTCTTGTGTGCCGGTCGGTTTGCGTATACGGTCCATTTCCTGACGCATGCTGTAGATGGCGCTGTACATATCTACTAGTTTTCCATTTGATTCGTTGTGCATCGTTGGTTTCTTCTTTCGTTTTCGTTTAGTTTTCTTGTGATGTTCGGTCGTGGCCGGCTCGTGCGGCGCGAGTACACCCATTATTTCATTGAAGTCATCGTCGTCTTCGAAAGGCACCAAGTCGTCGAGTATATCTACATCGCGTCGTCGGCGTGTCTCTGCTTTGGTGCTGCCCGAGTACTGCTGCATTTGAAAGAGCAGCTCAGGCGGTATTAAAGGTGCCTCGGCTGGCGCGCCAGGCGGTCCGGCTGGTCCCGGTGGGCCGATATCACCTTTATTTCCCGCTGGGCCTTCTGTTCCTTTGGGCCCAGGTGGTCCGTTCGGTCCTGGTTGACCTTGCGGTCCATCGTTGCCTTTTGGTCCAATCGACCCTACTGGTCCCGGTTCGCCTTTGCGTCCTTCGGGTCCATGTGGCCCACGGAACCCGCGATCACCCTTTTCTCCTTGGTCACCCTTTAGTCCGACCATACCCAATTCACCACGATGTCCTTTTTGGCCACGTCTTCCGCGGTCCCCTTTTGGACCTGCCGGTCCTGGTTCTCCAATACTGCCCTCTTTTCCAGGCAACCCTTCTGGACCAGGCAAGCCTGTTTCTCCAACTTCACCTGGGAGGCCTCTGCTACCGACAGGCCCCTGCAAACCCGGTAGACCTTGTGGACCTAAAATTCCTTGCGGACCTTGTGGTCCATGATCGCCCTTATCTCCCTTTTCGCCGATCGGCCCCGGACTGCCTTGCAACCCGGCTGGTCCTTCAATTCCTTGTTTTCCAGGTGGTCCAGGTTCACCAATTCTACCCTCTGGACCCATATCTCCGATAGGACCTTGCTCGCCAGGTTTACCATCTTCACCGTCAGGTCCTACATCCCCTTTCGGACCCATCAAACCCGGTTCCCCTCTGGCTCCTGGATACCCACGTGGACCTATAGCTCCTTTTGGACCTTCTTGACCCTGTATGCCTTGTCGGCCAGGTGCTCCTATCGGTCCCGATTTGCCTTGTTCTCCTTTGAGGCCCGTTGATCCAGGTTCTCCAGGTTTACCTGTTGGACCCACTGGTCCTGGCGGTCCTTGGGGACCATCTGCTCCTGTTGTACCTTGCGGTCCTCGCGGTCCAGGTTTCCCTTGCTGACCAGGAACGCCTAAGTAACATATGTATTTATGGCTTTTAATTTTTTAAAACATAAAATATATAAAATTGTATACCTTTTAATCCCCTTCTGCCTTGATCGCCTGGAGGTCCCGGCGGCCCTAGCGGTCCCATCAGACCATCATCGCCATGCTCACCCTTTAAGCCTGCTGGACCTGGCAAACCTTGTATTCCTGGTTTTCCGAGTGGCCCAGGTGGACCAGGCTTACCATCTTCGCCCTTTATACCTCTCCGACCAGCTTCACCTGGCGGACCCTTTTCTCCTGGTGATCCAGGTGGTCCAGACTCACCACGTGGTCCTTGTGGTCCTGTTGAGCCGATTGGGCCCTAAATCGCATGCATTTCTAATTATTAAGCCCACCACTAGATGGTGTAATTATACTAACCAGTTCCCCTCTACTTCCTTTCAAGCCTTTTTCGCCAGGCGGACCTGTCTCGCCTTTGTCACCGTCTTCTCCAGGTGTACCTTGAGGACCCGGTGGTCCTGGTAGTCCACGCAACCCAGTTAACCCATCTCTACCAGACGGTCCGATAGGCCCCTTTTCTCCAGGCTCGCCTTTTGCACCTGGTGCTCCAGCACTACCTGGTGGTCCCAGGTTTC